GGAAGTCCAGCTGTCTTTAGAAAAGCACATTTGCGCTGAGAGTAGGTAGATGAAAAGTGCATTCCTTCCATTTAAACAAGTAAATTTTGGGCACTGTTAACAACTTTCTCTTTAGCCATCTAACTACAAAATATATCACTCAGGGAAACAATTGTTTTCTGTCTTCTTAGAACTTAGCATCTGTCATTGTGAACACAGAAATATCATGGAGGAAATTGATTGCCCTTAAAATGCAAGACTGCTGGTCCTGATCTCTTTACACAAGAACTGGTTATAGAGTGTGGTATGGGCTCAATGGAGCCATAAGAAGCAGGATTGAATTTTACCAAGGGGTGAGACAAGGGGGCATACTTGATTGTTATACAGTCTAGAGCAAGGGTCGGCAACCCATGGCTCTGGAGCTGCATGTGGCTCTTTCATCCCCCTCTGGCGGCTCCCTGTCTCCGGTCGGCTCCAAAATTGATAGGGCTTTTTGGTTAGGACAGGTAGAGGAAAAAGGACGCTGCGCTAGGAGGAGACTCTATGGTCGGGAAACCGGACTTCCGGTCAGCAGAGGAAAAAGGACGCCATGGTAAAAGGAGACTCTATGGTGCAGAAACTGGACTTTCGGTCAGCTCCAGAATTGAACGGGGGTCTTCTGGTTAGGACCTTTGTGGCTCTTTGAGTGTTTAAGGTTGCCGACCCTTGGTCTAGAGATTAACAATTTACCAGGACTAACAAATACACATTCCTAAGGCACAAAACACTTACTTGAAAACATTACTATATGCTTATGGTATGTTATTTTTATACTCACAAGTTGGGTTGGGTTGGCTATAAAGAAGACTAGACTCCTAATCTCATAGTAATTCTCTCAGTATAAATAAATCAGATAAGTTAAAAAGTTATGTTCTTTGGAGAATGATATCACAGCAGTAGACACATAACTTGATAAAGTTATTTTTGTCTGAGACTGGATCTTGGGTTCCTCATTATCAAAGGAACTCACTTTAAAGCAAGGGCAGATTTACTGCAGATTCAATTTACTGCTAAAACAGAAAAAAAAATCATAGATATCCACCTTCCTTAGCCTCAGTTAGTAAGTTATAAATTTATACAAGGCCAAGATTGCCCCAATTCTTTTACATGGAGCTGCAGCTTGGGGCTTCAAATGGATATCACTACTAATATAATAATAATAATAATAATAATAATAATAATAATAATAATAATAATAATAATAATAATAATAATAATAATAATAATAATAATAATAATAATAATAATAATAATAATAATAATTTTATTTCTATACCATCCTTCTCCCGAAGGACTCAGGACAGTGTACAACCTATTTAAAAACACAGACAAAACAACAGTATAAAATTTAAAATAATTAAATAAAGTGGCTCAGATTTAAAACCCCAATAAATTTAAATTTAGGACAAAACTAGGACAAACCAGTGGTGAAATTCAATTTTTTTTACTACCGGTTCTGTGGGTGTGGCTTGGTGGGCATGGCTTGGTGGGCATGGCAGGGGAAGTATTCTGCAAAATCTCCATTCCCACCCCACTCCAGGGGAAGAATACTGCAAAATCCCCATTCCCACCCCACACCTGTGGGAAGGATATTGCGAAATCTCCATTCCCACCTCACTCTGGGGCCAGCCAGAAGTGGTATTTGCCGGTTCTCCGAACTACTCAAAATCTCTGCTAGAACCTGTTGTCAGAACCTGCTGGATTTCACCCCTGGAACAAACCCAATCTCAGCATCTGAGAAGTATCTTATGAGGACTTCAGCTGATGCCCTCAGAGCCTAATTGGGAATTTATGCAATTGGTTCATTATCTAAAATCAGGGCATATAATAATTAGTGTAAAATTAAAGCTAAAAAAACCTGACAGATCCCCAAATATGTTTTGTTAGAACTGGTAAAATTTCAGTTAAAGACCACTTGGCTTGTATAGCTGGCAAATTATATTAGCGCTTTGGTTTCTCTGTGTTTTGTTCAACTATAACTAAAAAGATTGGTGCCCAAAGAATTCAGGGTATCTAAGCAGAGAAAGATATAGCCATCCTCAGGAAAGTTGGCACGCTGAAAAGGATGAGTAGCTAAAATTGTACCTTTGAAAGTTTATCAAGTATTTCAAAGCAGAAATAACTAAACATCATAGGACAGTATTCAACAATATTTGAGCAGCTGGACATAGTGATTAAATATAGAAGATTTAATCAAGTTCCTTATAATGAACAGTCTTGTATTTGCAGAATTCCAGAGATGTAAGACATAACAGAGCTATTTTTTGAATATCAAATATAAAATAGAGTGATCAGTATCTTGGAATGCCCATTAAATAAATATCTTATTCAGATCCTTATATTAAAACAACATATTTCCTGTGTTGTCAGAATACCAAAAATATATTTAATAATGCCATTTATTTGAATAAAATAGTTCACTTGAGATGAGGATATGTGGTTGTTATCACAGTAAATCATAGGGGTGATTCAGAAATAAGATTTTCATTCTTTAGTATTGTTCTTTTTTATTTAATTTGTTTCTTTTATTCTATTTTTATATAGGGACTTGTTCTGCTCTTTATACCCAGTTTCTCCCCAAAATAAGACATCCCCTGATAATAAGCCCAATCGGGCTTTTGAGAGCATGGCAATAGGGCCAAGCGCTTATTTCAGGGTTCAAAAAAATATAAGACAGGATCTTATTTTCGGGGAAACACAGTAGACTGTGCCTTGATATGGCCAAATGACTAATCGACAATAAACTACACTAAAATGTCTTTGACAACCAACTTGGATTTATTAAAAGGTACGATTTTGGACTTGATCTGACACCCAAATATAATAGAGCATTCCTTATTGCTTTTTCAGATGAATTATGCAAGTGGTCCAGCAGCTCTTAGTGATAAAAATCAATTCCCATTTTTCCACCGGATGGTGCCCAAAGAAGGGATCCAGTACCCAGGAATTATCCAACTTCTCCTCCATTTCAGATGGACCTTGATCGGTCTCTTTGCTTCAGACACAGAAAATGGAGAGAATTTCATGAGAACTTTCACTCCATTGCTTGTCAGGAATGGAATTTGTGTTGTTATATCGCAACAGTTCTCAATGACTGGCCACACAGCATCCCTCAGGGATGCCCTCTCTAAGTGGAGGCAAGTCAATGTCTTCGTTCACTTCAAGGAATATGATTCCGTTTTGGACACAATTCTTCCTTTCCATTTAACACTTGAAGATTTGCCAGAACCCATTGAATGGAAAGTCTGGATCATCTCACCCATTATAAAATTCACAATGGGAAGGAATAGATTTTTCAAATATGTCCATAGTATTTGGAACTTTGATGTCAGGGATAAAGAAAGTCCTAAGGATGATGATGGCTTTGAACCCATTCTCTTTGTACAACCTCATTTTCAAGACCAGTCTTTTCACTGTTCTTTTTCAAAGCAGTTCTTTTCTATCAAGGGCTGGAAAAAATGCACCCAGAAAGCACCACTGGAGACCCAAGAGAAAAGGAACAGCAACCCGATATCAAATGATCACCATGCTTACAGTATCATTAAGACTCTGGCACATGCCTTGAGTGCTGCGTATTCATCCAGATCCAGGTGGATAAGGAAGGCAGATGAGGAGGGGTTGGGGGCTTCAAGGCTGCAGCCATGGCAGGTATGGAGTCCAGACAAGGATGCATCAAAGCTTGTTCCTTTGGCGTAGGAATACAAATGAGAGGGAGGAGAACCTTCTCAGCTTCCTAGAGCTACAAAAAACCAACAGCTTTGGCAAATCTAACTGTTGGGGGCATAATGTTCTATAGAAATGATATTATGATAGATAGATAGGTAGGTAGGTAGGTAGATAGACAGACAGACAGACAGACAGACAGACAGACAGACAGACAGACAGACAGATAGATAGATAGTATTTCTCTTTAGCCAGGTTCTTCCTATGTAAACCAAGATTTTATGCAGCTCTAGTTCAGGGAAATCACAATTCACTAGTTTCTAGGCTTTTTTTTTCTTCTGGTAGCCAGCAGACCCTTTGCTGCCCATTGGGAGACTAATATAGATCTATTTTGGCCTTATAAGGCCTCATCAGTTAGCCACACCCTCATCTCATGTATCCTCCCTGTAAAGGTACAGTATTTGTTTTCTTTTCTTTTCGTAGCCTTTATGTGTATTTCTCTTTAGCCAGGTTCTTCCTATGTAAACCAAGATTTTATGAGCCCTAGTTCAGCGCGATAGATAGATAGATAGATAGATAGATAGATAGATAGATAGGTAGGTAGATTTTTCACTAAAATCAAATTATATCAGAAGAATTCCCAAAATCTATTAAGGAAGTTTAATTATATGTGGGAATGACATTGGTGATGAAGGAAATAATACTACCCAGGAAAGATCAGGTAAGAGGTGGGGAGATGACAGCTGCACAAAGGCAGACAAAGAAACTTGGAAAAGATCCCCCCTTAACTTTTCAGACTTAAAAATGAGTTGTTGGGAGATTAGCATTTTCAGACTTGTGAGATTCTGTTAATGTAGCCTTATGATAAAGTAGAATTAGCTCATCTGGTGTACCTGGGAGAAGATTAGCTTGGCAAATTATTTCATGACAAGTCCACGCTTTCTACTAATCACCTCATTCTTTTCAAATAGTTTATGAATAACCTCTCTGTTTGTTTGTTTATTTGTAACCTGCTCTAGGATTATCCTTATAATTGAACGATTTTACCAATTATTTATTTTGTTCAATATACGTTATCTTTTGAAGATATTGATAAATCTTAATTCTCCCATCTATGCATAATTGCAGGTTAGACAACTGTAGAAGGAGGTTGCACCACATGAGATAAAAACCAAAGTTTTCTTATTTAAAATTCCTGTATGTTCCTATTTTAGTTCCATCCCTTTCTGGAGAAGAATGAGTTTTGCAATCTTTCCAACTTGAAAATGTACTTGGACCAAACTGGAGACGTAAAAGCAGATCTGGACATCATGAGCTGGGTTTTTCTCCCCAATGAGGAACCCATCCAAGAGCAACTAGGGGTTTTTGAAAGACAGAGACTTACTATCAGTGAAGATGCCCTTTCACGGTTAAAGTTTCTCAACAAGGTGGGGAAAATATTGGAGAGCATTCTTGGTTTCCAAAGGCTTAAGACCCATTTTAAGTGGGATAAGTATAGTCACCAAAGAGGATGAGCTTCACTGAGAGTTCAATGTGGATTGTACAATCTTTATAGATTTTTAAAATGGCTGGGGAGGCTTCAATAGCATTGACCAACATGTCCTTCAGTTCTGTAGAGATTCTCAGTCATCCAGGTCATGGTTGTCCCAAAGGTGCTTTTTCAGGAAGCTTCTTCAGCTCTGACAGGACAGTGAAGAATGGAAGAATTTATATTCCTTGCAGGTAGGTGGTAATCTGCATTCTTTTAGAGCAGAGGTCTTCAAACCTGGCAGCTTTAAGACTTGTGAACTTCAACTCCCAGCTATGCTGGCTGGAGAATTCTGGGAGTGGAAGTCCACAAGTCTTAAAGCTGCCAAGTTTGAAGACCTCTGTTTTAGAGGGTTGTTGAAGCACTTGGAGGTTTATCTGTTTTTTTTTTCTCCTTTTGGATGACTTTCTGGATGATTGAGAATCTCTACAAATTTTTAGCTATACAATTTGGGATGAACACCCTTGGAATGATGTGGGAGCAAGAATGGATTTCCAGAGGAAAAATTGCAGACTACAAGAACCAGAAGCACCACTCAGATGACCCTGAAGACACACAGATAAACCTCCAAGTGCTTCAATGACCCTCTAAAAGGATGCAAAGGACCAGCTGTCTGCAAGGAATATAAATCCTTCCATTCTCCACTATCCTGTCATAGCTGAAGAAGCTTCTTAGATGAGAAGCAAAACGTCTTCAAAAGGAAAAAAAAAACAGGAAACTTCAGTTGCCTCCTGAAAAAGCACCCTTGCTGTCTTTCAGTCGCTATAACATGGAACATCATTTTAAGCTTATATACTATGGCCATTTCCAACATGGGATGCTGAGCGATGATTCTTTAGGACACAGATCATGACCTTTGCATCTAGTATCTCCATAAAACCAGTGAGAGAGGTTCTCACATTCTGGGGCTCATGGTGCTGATAGGCTCAACCCAGATTGTTCCTTGGCAAAAAGAAGAAGGCAATTCTGTTGGCCAATGGCCAATATTCAGAGTGAATCTCATGAAAATGAATCAAGACAGGATGAATTTCAGATGTGCCTCTGCTCAAAACTCAAGAATGAAAAACCCCAAGTCCGTGTTTGTAGAGAAAGATACTTTTGCTGAGCCTGAACTGAATGCAACGAAAAGAAAGCAAGGTCTGAGGCAATAGGCACAAAAATTACATATTGAAAGCATCCCCAAATCTCTCTCCCCCAAGGACTCAATTTGAATGTCCAATCCACAACTCTCCAAGGTGTCATGTGGGGTGCTTCTTCAGATGGTCCCATCTATCTGGTATGCCAGAAGGGTTGACCTTAAGTGGGTATCAGCACTCCCTGCAGCTGCTAGGAAGACAGTGAGAATTGTCCTCCCTTTCATGAGACATCTCCACCAGCTCACTTCCCCCCTCCCAAATACCTATACCTCCCCCCTCCCATTACTATGGCAGCCGAAAGCAAGCAAGCATCATAGAGGCTGACAAGGGGTCCTGTGGGTCCCAGTGGGAAATAAGCTTTTAATTAAGATTCACTTTGTCCTGGCTCTGGACAGCGTCCCATGAAAGAGCAGGTCCATGCTGTCTATGATGCTTTTAGGCAACCCAGACATGAACAGATGGACAATGTTTAACATAGTCTAGAAGAAACCTTTCTAGAACCTATTGGTGAGAACTTTCTTCCTTCATCAGTTTTGTTCTATTTTAATAAATATAATACAATAATACTTAATCAATCTTTAAGAACAAATTTAACTATAAAATTTCAGATGGGATCTGAAATAGGCCCCTTTCACTGGAACAAGTGAGATGGGCCAATCCAGTTGGGTGATACTTCACACTGAATTAAATGAAGCCCAAAGACTACTTGACTTGTCTACCTCAATTTTCTGTGAATGGTGAATCTCAATATAGTTTCTTCGGCATTCCTTGTTTTTCTACTTAGTCTCTGCCTCAGTCCAAATGTGGGGAAAAATGTCATCCTGGATTTGTCAAGAGGGCTCGAGAAGGAGAGCCAGTTTGCTGCTATGACTGTGTTCCTTGTCCGGAGGGAACCATCTCCACTCAGGAAGGTGGGTGACACTGAAAACCTTGCAGAAATGGATTAATCCAAAGCACTTTGGTGACAGTGCATGTTGAAAGAGGCATTGTGGCTCAACTGTTCTCCTATTTATTATCAAAATCCCCTATATTTATTTTCCTAGGAACATAAGAGGACTTTGAAATTTGAAGAACTGTCTCAAGTCAACCTCTTGAAAAGATTATTCTCATGCATTCCACATGAGTCTTTTCTTGGGGATCACTAGAAAGGTATCACTGGTCAACAGTGAAGTGGCGTGGACACATATGGGTCAGTAGTGGGTTTCAAATCCCCGGCGCTACCAGTTTGCTCTTGGGAGCGCACGGGCACGCACACATGCTTCGCAAGCACGCAGCGTTTCTGCGCACGCACAGAAAGTTCTGCGCATGCGCAGAGCATTTTTGATGACGTCTGGGAGGGTGGGAGGAGCCTCCCACCACCACCACTGCTGGTTTGCCTGAACCAGGGCGAACTGGTAGCAACTCACCACTGATATGGGTGCTGTTCTGCCCCAGCTACGGACCCCAAAGAACGCAGCACACACAAACTCTACACCAAGCTTATTTTACTCAAATAACTCAGTCTTTATCAACCAAAGGCTGTTAATAAACTGTCTTAATAGCCTACAAGAATTCTAAGATAAGGTAATCACAGTCTTACTAGAGTTGGCAGAAAGCCCAGAAGTAATCCAGACACAAAGGAAAGTGAACTAAAGTTGTTCCCTACAGCTTGCTGCAAGCAGCGTTCCTGCTTAAATAGGCTAAGGCGGTGGCCAATTAGCCCCAAGCCTTACTCTCGAGGAGACCTCCTCCTGAGGAGCCACTCCTGCCTTTTGGCAGCTCTGTGTGCCCGTGCATTGAGAAGAGGCTCCTCCTCTTCGTCCTATTCACTTAAAGGAGCTTCTGGAGCTTCTGAAGGCCCTGGCTGAATCCCTGCCTCTGGCACCACATCTTCTCCAGCCTCCTCACTGTCTGACTTGAGTGCCAGCTGCACCACACCAGCCTCCTCTTTGTTGGAATCGGCTACGATCTGCACAGGCCACTGACGGGCCACAACAGGTGCACTTCATTACACCCATATTGCAACAGGTCCAAGTAGTCATTCCAGATTATTAGCAGGACTAGCTTTCTCTGTGAGCCAACTAGATTTTATGAGAGAGACATCCTCTGAGTTCAGTATATTAAAAAGTGTCATTAATTACTTTAATAATCTAGGTTGCTATGAAGGTTCTGTACATTACACAGGAAATCTTTCACTTCCTAGGACTTCCCCATATTTCACAGATCTTAGCTATGTGATGATATTCATCTTAACATTTTTCTGTGGAATTGTTAAGAAATGCATCTTGGAACATTGTCCCCATATCAGCTGTTTTCCCAATAAGTATTTCTTGAAAGGTAAAAGTGAAGAAACTTATATAGAAATACTGTTTTTGGTTTTATCAGATATGGAAAAATGCACCAAATGTCCAAATGATAAATATCCAAATGAGGACCAAGTCCAATGTATCCCCAAAAGAATAACCTTCTTGACTTATGAAGAACATCTGGGATCCATCCTGGTCTCATTTGCCCTATTTCTGTTCCTAACCACAGCTCTTCTTTTAATCATATTTATTAAATACCGAGAAACTCCCATTGTCAAAGCCAATAACCGGCACCTCTCTTACATTCTCTTGGTTTCCCACCTACTTTGCCTCTTGTCCCCTTTTCTCTTCATTGGTCAACCAAGGAAAACCACCTGCCTTCTCCGACAAACATTTTTCAGCATTATCTTCTCAGTTGCCATTTCTGCTCTCTTGGCCAAAAGCATCATGGTGGTGCTGGCTTTCATGGCCACAAAACCAGGCAATCGAGTGAGGAGATGGTTGGGGAAGAGCTTGGCCAATGCCATCATCCTTTCTTGTTCTGCAATCCAAATGATCATCTGCTCTATCTGGCTAGGTGTTTCTCCACCATATCCTGACTCTGACTTCCATTCCCAGCCTGGAGAGATCATCCTGCAATGCAACGAAGGGTCTGTTGTCATGTTCTACATCACCCTCAGCTACATGGGCTTCCTGGCTGCCATCTGCTTCACAGTAGCTTTCCTGGCCAGGAATCTTCCAGGGGCCTTCAATGAAGCCAAGCTGATCACCTTCAGCATGCTGGTCTTCTGCAGTGTCTGGGTGACTTTTGTGCCCACCTATCTGAGCACCAAAGGGAAATATATGGTGGCTGTGCAGGTCTTCTCCATCTTGTCCTCCAATGCTGGTCTGCTAGGCTGTATCTTCCTCTCCAAGTGCTACATTATCATTTTGAAGCCTGATCTGAATAGAAAGGAGCAGCTCACAACCAGAAGAAATGTAAAAATTTGACAGAGGAATTTCAAATCTCAACATATTCCAACAGGCCACACCTAGAAAATGGTCCAAGTTGTTCTCCATAAATGAGTGGCCCAACAATTTTGCTTGAAATAATTAAAGGGCAGCTGGAAGTGTCCCCAATATTTGTCCAGTGAAATTTGAAGATGTCCTCAGAGCTCTGTTGAACTCTCAAAGGAGCTTGTCTGTCCTCTGCCCTTAGTCTACTTGCGGTCTGAGATACCACATTCAGGTTTGTGAAATATGGCATTTGTGCAATAAGAGTCCTGTTAATATGGCAGCAGCATAGTAGAGATATTTACAACAGGAACTTATGAACTTTAAAAATGAGAGGTAATTGTTGGGGAAGTTCCCAATTAAAATCTGAGGAAAGTTTTTATTATTAAGAACCAAACCAGGATATTTGATACTGGACTTAGAATGATTGGGGTGATTTGTGGTAAATAAGAAATCATGTAAGACTTTCTACAAGTAAACTACAATAACCAAGTGTTTTAAACTTCAAACGTTAACTTTGCTGTTGTTTAACCTGTTAACTAGTTTTTCTTTCATGTATGTAATGTGTGACAGGTCAATTGGATTGCAAATAGACGTACAAATTTATAAATTTTGGATCTGCCTTGTAAGGGGGTGGGGTGGGGGGAAGCTATTCTTGTTGCAATGGATTTGTTAGTGTTCAACCAGGGGGGATGTCCTTTGTTTTTTTTAATTCATATTTTTAATGTTTTGTCTAGTTTGTTTTGTCTCTCTTTAATTTTTTCCAGCATGGCTCTTTCTAGTCAATCTCACTTGTAAGTCATTCAGTGTGATGGAGCTGCATTCCCTCCATCTGCAGTTCTAACATTCTTTTCTTCTTATTCCACTTACACATATATTGTAGGACCTGACCAATTTATTGAATCATTTTGATTTTCCAATACTTCCTTTTTTTGTTTTTTGGTCCTATTTTGTAGAAAAAAATAAAGATAGGGAAAAAATCCTGAAAAAGTCTAATTTATGTACCGTTACAGGTTCAGTTCTGAGTTATCAATTCAATATAAATTTTAGTTTAAAGTAGTTATTGAATGGGTTGTAGTTCTTTCTGCCCATCCCATTTCCATAGTTTTCTAACCACTCATTCATATTCAATGCCTGATTCTTATAAGAAGAGAGAATGACTTGATTTTAGAATTGCTTTTCTGGGTCATTTATGAAACAACCTCTTCTTATGATGGTTCCACTTTAATGATTGAAACCTGGTTACTGGGCTGATGAAAATTAGTTCTATTAAATAATGGTGTATTTGTGATTCTTAGTGGAACTCTTGTCTCTAACCCATCTTCCTAATACTCATTAAAATAAAATGGTGATGTGTGACTAGCATTTGCATCTGATTTTGGCTTAAGATTTAGAAGGCTTGTGGAAACTAAGATAATTAAATTGAAAAGTCCAAGGGATCTTGGAGTCATAGTGGACAATCATTTAAATATGAGCCAAAACAGTGTGCGGCAGCAGCCAAAAAAGCCAATGCATTCCTAGGCTGCATTAATAGAGAGATAGAATCAAGATCATATGAAGTTTTAATAACACTTTACAAAGCCTTAGTAAGACCACACTTGGAATACTGCATCCAGTTCCGGTCACCACAATTCAGAAAAGATGTTGAGACTCTGTAAAGGTCCCTTCCGACTCCATTACTCTATGTTCTTCTGTGCCCATTCCCTTCCCTTTCTATATGTGTGTGCCTTCAAATTGGTTTTGACGATTGATACCTAAACAGTTTTCTTGGCAAACATTCTAGAGATGGTTTTCCCTTGCCTCCTTCCTAGGACTGAGAGAGAATGACTGGTGCAAGGTCACCCAATTGCATTTGTATATTAGGTAGGGCTAGAACTCACATTCTCCAAGTTTTTACCCTGAGGTTTTAACCACTACACCAAATTGAGTCTCTTTTCTCTCCCATCAAAGCTCTCAGTCTACAGTGTCAATCACTGGGAGGCCACCCAACCTCTGCATTGCCAGAGCACTGTTTTTTAACCCCATGCAAAACCACCTGGGATCCTAACATATGAGGTAATCAGGAGACATGGATTCTGGGTCCTGCATGATTTGCATGCCCATCACTTTACCACTTAATTGCTTATCACAATCCAGGGGTAGAATGCTGGCCCTGCAGACTAAACTGGCCAGGCAGATACAGGAGATATGGGAGACAAGAAAGTCTTTAAGCACTATGACCTATGCCATGCAGGGTTTTATTGGTAGTATCCAGCACCTTGAATTGCACCCGGAAACAACCTGGGAACCAGTACAGTTCATGAAGGACAGGTGTAAGATGGGTGTACTGAGGCATGCTTATCACTTGTCTGTTCCACTGTAATCTGGACCACATGAAGTTCCCAAGTGGTTTTCAAGGGCAGTCCCATGTAGAGCAGCCAAGCTCTGTAGTGAGCAGAGCATGAATGATGTTCTGAAGTGTCCTATGATCTAGGAAGAAAATTAGAAGATAGAGAAGTTAAGCTTGGTGTTATCCACACGGAGCCTCAAACTCTGAAAGTCTGGGTGACCTTCCTCAAAAAGCATTGGAGACAAAATAGTATCTTGCAGGACCTCATAAGTCTACTTTGGTGTTCAATGAGGATCCTCCACATTACTTTTTGGACAGATCCCAAAGGAAGAATCAGAACCCCTGTACTAAACTATGAACCCAGGGATGTATCTATGTTTTTCACAAACAAGCTTTTCTCCAGCCATGTCACTGCACAGGGAGCCCCAGAAGATATTCAGAGTCCCACAGAAGACATGTTGCTTTTTTTTTTTTGAATTTTTTTTAAAAAAACCATAAACATAACATACAT